ATCACTTCTTTCTTTGAGCACAGAAAAACACCACTAAGTGCACTGCACACCTGGAAGGGGCACCATCAGCAGCTAAGATGGAAGGGAAGGCCCCTGCGATCGCTGTGGGGGTTGCTATGGATAAGGAGCCCGGTCGGAAGCGTGCCCTCTGGAGGAGGTAACTAGTCAATCTCCATGGCTGAATATAGGGAATTATTCTTTAAGGAAGCATATCTTTTAGTAGATCTCTTCTTTTTTTGGTTCTGCAGAGAGCAAACTTGTTCTTGAAGTTTGATTAACCACAAGATAATGTTTTTGTTTTAAAATAAACTATAAAGTTTAATACTGAAGTCAGGGCTACAACTGAATAGCAGTAAGTAAAAATAAATACAGAGCTTTTTTTAAAGCCAAAAGAATAAAAAAGTATTTCAGAAAAATGCTAAGTAAATTACTACATAGAGATGAGAGGAGGAAGTAAAACATACATCTGTCAGAGGATCATCTGCATCGAGGTTGGCAGCAGGAATCTGGTCTAAGCGAGGCTTCTTTGACACTGAAGAGGAGGTTGTATGTTCTGGGGAGAAACAAACATTGTTTAGCTTACTGAAACAAATCCTGCATTTCTTCTAATATTTTAGGGACCTATGGGCACAAAGAACTTATGTTTAAAGCATGACAGTAGGGATTATAACCACAGTGCTTGGTAAACAAGTTCTCGGCAAATATTTGTTGAATGAGTTAATGAAAGGATTGATTTTTAAAATGGGAACTGTAGCCTTTATCAGGAAATTTAGGCAATAGTTTACAAATGCTAGAAATAAAAATGGGAGACTTTCACAGACAGAAATGATGGGACCTCAAAAAGTCTGGCTGCTGTAAATAGTCAAAAACTCCTTGATCTGAACTGAAACAGTAACTGCTAAATATCCTCAGATGACCCAGTTCTTTCTAACATAGAAGCATAAGAGGACGGAACTGGAATCAATTTCATCATCATCTCTAATCTAATCCAATCGAATCTAATCATTTAAGAGTGTTGTATCTCACACCAATATTTAAAGGCAAACAAACAAAAACAGTAATCTGTTCCAACTACCACATGAAAGACAAACTACTGTCAACATAATTTTATCCGAGAAATGTCCGGGGTAGTGTTGGTACCTCTGGCTGGACGGTCTCTATTTTTCTCCCTTGCAGCAGCTCTTTCTCTCTCTTCCAACTCTCTCCTGAAGTCACGGTTCCGAACCTCTTCAGGGGCATCCTGAGTGGTCTGTCTAAAGTAGAAACAAACCCGGGCAACAGTGCTTCTAAACAACACATGGCTGTACTAACGGAAGACAATTCACAAAAAGTAACTTTGTCCTTAGTCCCTGGAGCATCAAGGCCCATTATGGGAACTGGACAAGATCATTACCCTAATCTGAAGGTTACTAACAGGTATCCTGTGATGTTCCAATATTTCAAGAACCCCAAACTGAATCACAAACTTTCCCATAATAAGGCTGCAAACTGATTAAAATATCTTTACTTTTTGCTGTATGTCAACTCAGGGCTTGTTACAGTAACACTTTTGATCTCATATTATTAGTACTGACAGTGCTGGTCCCTCAGAGGTAATGTAATAGTTCTTGTTCCATCTATATATAGAAATTTCTGGTTAACTGGAATTTCTGCTTAAGGAATATCCAGCAGCATTTTACAATCATATAGCATAATTTTAACATTAGATAGACTATTGCATTCTACTATGAAAACAGATTAACTTAAGTGATAATAACCCAAACATGCTACTATCTCAAGAACATGCCATTTAACAGATTTTGGTCTTGCTTTGTGAAACAAGAAAAATTAAAAATGTTCATTACCTATATTTTATCTTTGTATGAGAGGGTAGGTCTCTACTTGAATACTGCTTTGAGAGTTGGCTCAAATCACCTTCTCCTTTTCCTCTCCCACCTCTTGCTGGTTCAAAAGTTGGCCTAGCCGCTGTTGTCATCTTTTATGCTTTGAAGGAAAACAGTGTCAAGTTATTTCCAATACTACAAACTCTCATCTTATAAACTATTAATCAGTATCCATTGATTCCATCGTGAAATAATTTCCATAGCTCAGTCCCAAAGACTTAGTTAAAATAATCTCAAAAGTTCTCAAGAAAACAAATGATGAGGCTCAGGGTGTTCAAGGAATAAGGCAGAAGTTTAGTACAAACAGTTCTGTCACTAAGATCTGAGTCTGTGTTCCTGTTCTCCTGGCTCTGTGACCTTGGGCAAGCCACCAAGCTCTGCCATCTGTGGAATGGGGATATTCCTCACATAATATTATGAAATTATGGGACCTGACACGTCAAAGCCCTTGTAAAATACAGTACTGCCATGTCGGAGTTAAAAAAAAATCTCAGCTCAACCTTATACCACCAGAACCCTTAAGGTTCCCATTTTATCTAAACTTCACACAGCAGAAAAATAGGCTAGCAACTACAAAAAGAAAAACAAAAACAAAAAATCTAAAAAATTAACTGACAAAGTTACTTTGTGTGCTGAAAAGTGTGCTCTAACCTTCGATGACAGTTACATGGGCAAAGTTCTCCGACAACCTTTTGTTGATTCAAATTTCTCCTGTAGCAGCCAACACAATATAAATCAGATCTTTTGCAAGTTACAATCTAAGGAATGCTCAAAACACAGGAACCCACCCACAGAGGAACAGGATAAACAAAAACCAGGGACCCGATCCTTCTGTTACTTTCGGTTTTGAGCAACTAAAGGATACTGCATAGCAGATGTGGCCACAAAAAAACCCTTTCAAGCGTCGGAAAAGCAAGTGTCTGGGGAAATTGGGGAGACTGGTATACTTGTCAAGATTTTTTTCAAAAAACGGAAAGGGATGTATCCAGACAGGGAGAAACAGGGAGGGACGCCGCCGCCTCCCACACCCCTGGATTATTATCATTTTCGCCTCTGGGGAGATCGCCTTCGGGTAGTCACCCAGAATCCGCTGACTCTTCACCCAGGGTCCACTCGGCGAGGGACGGGGGCGCCCGGACCCTACTTAACGCCGTCTGCAGAGCCGCCTTCACGCTGCACCCTCCGTGGCCGGGCTCCGCCACCCGCCCGCCCGCCTCTCCGGGGCCTCCTCCGCCAGCGCTCGGTTCTCCGCCTCCGCCCGCAACCGCCCTTTTCCGCCCCACTCACAGTCTGCTGTCCTGCCGCTCACGGTGGCGGAGGTCCGATACAGCAGCCACCGGAGATCAGACCCCAGTACGCTTCTTGCGTCCCAGAAACCTCTGCTTCCAGGGCCAAAACCCAAGACCCGGAAGCAAACCCCAAGTTCTTAGGCCGCCCTTCAGAAGCGGTGGCAGGAACCAATCGGTGGAGGCCAAGGCGGAAGTCGGCGTGACGACAGCAATAGGCGGGGCTGAAACGGCCCAGGGGGCGGGCGTTTGAAATCAGTGCTTTGGAGTAGACTCCAAACATCGTTTTATACCTTCAAGAACCAATTACTTAATATCTCTTCCGTCTTTTCCTTCCCCGACCCCCTCCCAGACTCCTTCATTCCGGTACTGCGCGGACGGAAAGCCCCGGGTAGCCGACAGCACGGCCCCGGCTAGCGAGAGAGCGTAGAAAAGGATTACACCAAACTGTTTAAATCCAACGGCTCCTGCTTCCTTTCTTCTGAGCTAGTCCCAACAAACCTAGAGAGTTGGGCTACGGAAAGACTAGTATTTTCATTTAATTGGATATGAAGAAAGAACAAATATGTACGGGGGCAACCACGATCTTTATAAAGGTACCATTCCTGCAAAAATGTTAGTCTTCAAAGCAAAGGTTGTAATCGTATTGTTTGTTAAAATTTTTATTTTTTGAAAAGTGTAAGTTCTAGTGGGAGGGGAGGTGTCACTATTAGAGGTTCATTCATTTATTAACCGACTTTGAACGTTTAGAACAGTGGGCCCAACTGCCAGGAGCACTAGATGCAATTATTATAAGATGGCTACTTATGCATTAGGTGAAGTTTTAATAAGAACGAACAGGAAAAAAAAATGACCAATTGTCCTTACTCCGCCCCCCCTCCCCCCGAAAAAAAAAGTACTCTGGGAGCAGGGATTTTGTTTGCTTAGTTCATCTTGGTATCTAATCATATAGCCCTTGGCCACAGTAGATGCTCGATAAATATTTGTTAAGTAAATGAAAATTCAACTCCCCCAATTTAGTTTCAAATGTAAAGGGCTCATAAAATTGAACATAAAAAAGCTCTTTCCCCCAGAACTCTTTCTTTGAACTTTAAATGAAAGGAAACAGTAGAAAAGGTCCCTTACCACCATAAAGTTCAAGATACAAATCTTGATATTTCTCACAGAAGGTGTTACTCCCCTAGTCTTACACAACTCTGTAAAGGACACTACTGTCATACTGGTTACTCAAACCAAAATCCCAAGGTTCCTAATTTTCCTTCACTCTTCACATCCAGTTTATTTGTAAGTCTTGGCAATTCTACTCTCAAAATATACCTTAAATATCATTCCACAGCAACAACCCTAGTTCAAGTCACCATCATTTTCTACCTGGATTGTATTTGCTCCCAATGAATCTTCCTGCTTCCACTTTTGTCCTACAGTCAATTTTGCATGTAAGCAGTGAGAGTGCCCTTTTGAAATTGTGAATCAGGTAGTATTACTGTTCTGGCATAAAAATCCACTGCATTTAGATTAAAAATCGGATTTCTTAATGTGACTTGAGGCTTCTTAGGGTCTGTTTTTTTTTTTTCTTTTTACCTATTTCTGGCTTTGCTTCTAATCAGTCACTCTCCTGCACACTAAACTCTAGCCACAGCCAACCCAGCATTTCTGTTTCACAAACAAGATTCCTTTACACTAACTTTTCTGTCTGTGCACCAAGATAGCTGTATTACCATTCTTCAAGTTTCAGCTCAAATATCACCTCCTCAGGTTTCCCCTGACATCTACATTTGTATTCCCATCCCCCCAACACACAAATATCTTCATGTCACCTTGTTTTATTTTTTCATAGTACTGGACACTACTGAGTTTATTCTGTTTGTTGTTTATTGCCTTATTTCTTGGCTGAGAGGCAGCATAGCAAAGTCATTAAGAGAAAGGGGTCTATAGCCTGACTATTTTGGTTTTAAAGTCTAGATCTGCCCTTTCCTAGCTGTGAAACCTCAGGCAAGTTATTTTCCCTTTCTGTGCCCTCAATTTCCTCATGTATCAAATGAGGATAATTCTAGCCTGTATCACATAATGTTATTATAAGGATTTAGTGAATTAATACTTGTGCTTAAAACTGTCTCAGCAAACAATACTTGTTAAACAAATGTTAGCTACTATTATTATTAATATTATTTTTATTATTATTGTTTATCTTCCTGTATTAGAACATAAGTTCCAGGAAAGCAGGAACCTTGTCTCTCTTGTTCACTGGTGTATCCTCTGCATATAGAGCAGTGCCTGGCACATAATAGGTGCTGAGTAAGTATTTTTTGAATGAATGAATGATTGATGCACTGTGAAGTGGAGGATTGGCGTAACAGTGGCAAAGTGGTGATGCAATTATAGATAACATCCCAGGGTTTTATGTTCCAACTGCTCTAATCAGCCCTGAGTCAATCACCTTGATTCGTTTATCTCCTGTTCTATCACCTAATCTTTTGCTCACCAACCATGATTAATTTCACTAACACTAATAAACAATATAATCAGTCTACAAAATTCAAAGCTTTGACTTAAATGGTCTGAAAGTATTAATAAGAAAAAGAAACTAAAAAGTTTACTTAAATGATTTTAAAGTACTAATAAAAAACCCAAAACTATGAACTTTTTGACTTAAATGGCTTGAAGTATTAGAAAAAGAAAATAAGAGTAAGTCAAAAACTTACATTTGCCCTCTCAGCCATCTTTACTGGCAAAAAATCTGTGTAACCTCCCAAGAATTCTCATTTTAAACCCATTACCACAAAAATCTGGTTGGGCCCTTATTCTGCCTGCTAATCCTCTTACACTGTCCTTGTTGTGTATTTTCCCCCTCTGCAATAATACGGTTTCACACATTCTCCTCTTTCCTTAGAACTACACACTCTTCCACCTTCCTTTCCCTCCTCACTCTCTCTCCTAGGGATGGATGATCTTCTGACTTCTCTGAGAGAACAGAAGCTCTTAAACAGGACTCCTCATCTCCCCTCCAGCAGATCTACCAGGCTGGCTTTGACTATGACCTTACCATCAGCTCTCCATGTGCTAGGAGAGATGCGGTGACCCTGACCCTCCCCCTTGTGTTCTGTATCCAAATCCCTCCAGCCTTCTTAGTAGCCGGCATCGTGCTGTAGTCTATCTCTTGGAATCTATGAATCCATTTCTTTCAGATCATTCTTATCAGCTTTGGATATGCTATAGAAAAATGCTTCTTCATTTTAATATGACAAAGGTAGTATTTTTAATTCAATGTGAAAAGGGTGTTGTATATAATAACTGTGATCACAAAACTGACTATTCTTATGGCAGTATATAACATAGGAATTCCATCTTCCAAGTTTACACAAGCACTGCGACCAGTTGAATTAAACACCCAAAAGGGAAAAAAAAAGAAATCACAAAAACCTAGAAAGAAATTTAAGAGACTTTGTACTGTTTGGGGTCTGTAATGACCTTTTGATCAAGACAGAGCATCAAAGAGCTATAAAAGAAATAATTTTAAAGATTCATCTATATAAAAAGTTAATTTTATGGCAGAAGATGCCCATAAGGAAGTCAGAAGATGAATGCTAGATTGACAGGTAAATGCTATAGTGCCTATAACATATAAAATGTTACTCCTGCTGCTGCTACTACTACTACTAATATGCATAGTATAAAAAATGCAACAACCCAATTAAAAAATGGGCAAAGAATGTAAACAGGCCATTCAGAAAAAGCAATTCCAAGCAGATAAGCAACACGAATGACACTCAACTTCTCTATTAGGAAAACGAAAGTAAACTAGCAGTAAGTCCTCATATTACACCATCAGATTGGCAGCAGTTTTTTTTTAAATTAATAATACGGTTGGATGGGATTGGGAAAACGGGGATCCAGGCAGACAGCAAGGGGTGTTGGTTCCCATTTCCCTCACAGTAAAGCTGAAAGGTGTTCGTAGTGACCTATAAGGCTCTCCCCTACCTTCCTGTCTTGCTCATGTCTCTCTAGGCTGCGTGCCTTCCTGGTGTTGTCTGAACATAGCTCTTGCCTTATGCCCTTTGCACTAGCTGTTTACTTGGTCAAGAACACTCTTACCTGTCTTCAAGTGTTTGTCAAGTGAGGTAAACTAAGCATGACAATCCTAATTACAGTTGCAACCATCCTCCCACTTTGTCCTCCCAAATCTCGCACTCCTTGTCTCCCTCTCCCTTATCCTGCTCTTTCAATGTAGCACTTAATGACCATCTATGATTCCGTATAATTTAGTTATATTTATTATTTCTTTCTGTATCTATCCCATGCAGAATATAAATTCTATAAGGGCAGGAATCTGTTTTGCCTGGGGAGGTAGACAGCATATAAAACAGTGCCTGGATTGGTGCCTGTAAAATGTTTTCAAAATGAGTGAATGAATGAATGAGTAAGTTTTAACAGGAAAAGCAATCACATTTTGTTATAAAAAGTTACTGCCTTAACCACTTATATTTTAAAAGAAAAAAAGTAATTTTCATTCTGCTAGTCTGAAATCCAGATTTGAAATGAAGATATGCCAAGACCCAGAAAGATAATTTCTTTTCAGAAAAGAATCTCTAAATGAAAAAGTATGTGATTATCAGGCTGTATATGTTCCATCAGAATTCTGATTCAGTTAGCCCACTCCTCATCCAAGCACAACTCTAATTTAACCCAGCCTCCCTCCTCTTCTGATTGAATCACATCCTCAATTCTAGTACACCCTCTCTCTTATCTACAAAGTTACTAGCCCACAAAATGTGAAACTTTTGCTTGAAAGTGGAAGAAAAAACCCAATGGTCACGAGTCAGAATCACATTTTAAAGTAATATAAATAATGGCATCTGTTTTAAAATTTTAACCTGAAAATGACCAACTTTCTAATTTAAAAAGTTGATGCTTTCGTCTGTTTTGACAAGTAAAGAGAATAGAAACAGTAGCTTGCCTTCTACCAACAAAATCCTGATTTTAAATGAAGATGCTTTGGAGCCTAGAGGGATGACTTCCTGGTGATAACCTCAGTATGAAATTTGCTGATTGTCCAGGCTAGAGTACTGGACAGTGTTATAATTTAACTACCTCTTAATCTGAGCACATGGCTACCTCACTAGCTGGCCAGTCCATTAACACTAAGAAAATTAAAAATAAACATAAAAAATAGTTAAAACTAGACAACAAAAATAAAGGAAATAAAGTGACAGAAAAAGACATATCAAATAAATTCTAAACAATAACAAAGAACTTTAGCAATATTAATTATCCAAAGTATTCTTTAAATAAAGTAGCATTTAACAAGGACGTTAATGTGGGCATCTTACTGCATCACAAAGAAAAATCCACTAGGAAATTATTACAGTCATGAACATATATGCAACTAACTACAGTCTGGAAAAAATAAACAGTAAAAATAAAGAATTAATAGGAAAAACTGCAAATCCACAATCGTGATGGAAATTTGTTTAACATAAACTTCTCTCAGATTGATAGAGTAAGTAGACAACTTAACAACATTGAAGCATAGAAGCAACATTGTGCATGGATATATGTGTTTATTGCACTTATATATGCACCATATGTATTTATACTCATATATTACATTTATATATGTATATAAAATCCTTCAACCAAAACAAGAGAGTACATCCAACCTAATTAAACACCAGAGAGTTCACATGGGAAAACAAAAACAAAAACAAGAGAATACACAGTCTTTTCAATAAGCATTGAATATGTACAAAATTTAATCAAAGTCCCCAAATAAATTTTAATAAATGCCTATGGTTTCATTTCTAAATGATAGTTAGTATTGCCAAGTTTTGAACTTTGTATAAATGAATCATATGTGTTCTTTTTTGTTTTGCTTTTTTACTTAATGTGTATTATGTGTAGCTGTTGTATAATCTGTAGAATTTCATTGCATAAAAAATACATAGTATAATTATGTTTTTAGTATGTCGGTGTTACAAATAATGCCATCATGAGCATTCCTTTAAAAGTGCAGAGGTGCATGTGCATACATTTCATATATAGATCCCATCGTTAGGATAAGAGTTCTCCTTGTACTGTAATCACACCACACTTGATATTGTTCAGCTTTTCAGTTTTAGCTTATCTGCTGAGTGTATAGTGATATCTTATTGAGGTCTTAATTTTCATCTCCTTGATTACTAATCACCTTTTACAAGTTTATTGTCCATCTGGATTTCTTTTGTGAGGCATCTGTTCAGTCTTTCTATCGAATTGTCTTTTTCCTATTGACTTCTATGAGTTCTTAATACTTTAGGCAACAGTTCTCTTTCACTTACTTGTGCTACACATACATTTTCCATATCTTGGCTTCTCTTTTTGGTTTATTTTGATATATATAAGAATTAATATTTGGGTAGTTCAATTTATTAATCCTTTCCTTTTTGCTTAGTGCATAGTATTCCTTGCTTTAGAAATTCTTCCCTGCTTTTAGATTATATTAATATTCTCAGATATTATTTTCTGAAGGTTTTATAGTTAAGCTTTTCACAGTTCCACCTGGAATTCATTTTTGTGTGTGGTTTGATAGAGAGGTCTTGAAATGTGGTAAAGCAACTCTTCTTACCTTGTCCCTCTTTTTTGAGTACCATTCTCTGCCCTTTGTACTTCAGTATAAAATTTAAAATATCATGTTCTGTGAAAATACTTCTGGGACTTTGATTGGGGTAACATTGAAACTATAGATCAATTTAAGAATTGGCATTTCTGCAATATTGAGTCTTCAAATCTAGTAATAGGTTATGTCTTTTCTAATTACGTAGGTCTTCTTTAATTGCCCCTAAGTAAATTTATGTTGTCTTCATAGAGATCTTGCAAATTTTTGTGAGCTTTAGTCTTAGATACCACTTAATTTTTAATACTATTGTAAATGATATCTTTCTTAAATTTTAGTTTAATTGTTTACTGCTGGTATGTATAGATATAATTGTTTTTTAATATTTGCTACTATAAATTCAGACTGTTCTAAACCCTCTTACTAATTAAAATAGTTTTTTCTTAGATCTTTTGAGTTTTTACATATACAGTCATATCTAAGAATAATGACAGCTTTGTTTCTTCATTTCTGAGCCCCTCCCCTTTTTTTTCCATTCCCTTCTTACATTGGATAGGACATCTAGCACAATGTTGAATAAAAGAGGCAATCACAGGCTTCCTTTTCTTTTTCCTGATCTGAAAGGCAAAGCTTTTAACTTTTAATTATTAAGTATGATATTTACTGAAGGTTTGGGGTAGATGCATTTTATTCAATTAGAAATTTC